GACCGGTAAGGGGATCTTAACCCTTGACTTGGTGTTGTCAGCACCACGCTCAGCCAGTGAGCGAACCGGCCATCCCTATATGGGATCCGAACCCAGGGCCTTGGTGTTATCAGCACCGCACTCTCCCGAGTGAGCCACGGGCCGGCCCTAATTAGTATTGTTTTTTTTTTTTTTTAAAGATGACCGGTAAGGGGATCTTAACCCTTGACTTGGTGTTGTCAGCACCACGCTCAGCCAGTGAGCGAACCGGCCATCCCTATATGGGATCCGAACCCAGGGCCTTGGTGTTATCAGCACCGCACTCTCCCGAGTGAGCCACGGGCCGGCCCTAATTAGTATTGTTTTTTTTTTTTTTTAAAGATGACCGGTAAGGGGATCTTAACCCTTGACTTGGTGTTGTCAGCACCACGCTCAGCCAGTGAGCGAACCGGCCATCCCTATATGGGATCCGAACCCAGGGCCTTGGTGTTATCAGCACCGCACTCTCCCGAGTGAGCCACGGGCCGGCCCTAATTAGTATTGTTTTAAGCAGCAAGTTTGTAGTAAATTGTTACAGCAGCAATAGAAAACTAATACACCATCTTATCTGAGTTTAGCTTTTCTATCAGCTTTGCTTGTAAGCAAGAGAAACCAAGTTGAGCTTCCTTAAGCAAACAAAACAGGCTTTACTGTAAGCATAAAGTATGTCTCAGGGAACCCAAGGCAGGAAAGCAGTGGCACTGCAGGAAAAGTTCTGGGACCATAGAGGAAAGCTCCTTCCAGGAAGATACTCCCTTTTCCACTTTAATCTTTCTCCCCGCCCACCCCCACTCTATTTCATTCTTCTTTCTGTAAATAGATTTCTCTGCTATTTAGTGCATGAAGTACGAGAGGGCTGAGCTTCAGCTTCTCATTGCCTTTTCTTTCTCCCTAAGACCAGCCCAGGCTATGACTAGAATCTCATGTTCAATTCCAAAGTCTCAGAGAAGGAACCCTGTTTGGCACAGTTTGGGTCAGGTGCCTGTTATGGGTTGAATTATTTTGTCTTCCCAAAAAAGATATGTTGAAGCCCTAACCCCCCCGTACCTTAGAATGTGACATTATTCGGAGATAGGGTCATTGCAGGTGTAATTAGTTAAGATGAAGTCATACTGGAGTAGGCCCTTAATACAGGGCCCTTACTCCAATATGACTGGTGTCTTTATAAGTGGAGGAAAATTGGGACACACAGACACAGAAACAGAGGGAAGATGGTCATGTGAATATAGAGGGAGAGTTTGCAGTTATGCTGCTACAAGGTAAGGAATACCTAGGGCTACCAGAAGCTGGATGAGGCAAGGAAGGATCTCTCCTATGGGCTTTGGAGGGAGTATGGCCCCGCCAACAGCTTGACTTCAGACTTCAGGCCTCCAAAACCACGAGACAATCAATTTCTGTTGTTTTAAGCCATCTAGTTTGTGGTAATTTATTATGGTAGCCCTAGGAAACTAATACAGCGCCCAAGCCTGGTCCAATCAGCTGTGTCTAGGGGACCAGGTATTATAGCACAAATGTGGCCTCTCAAGACTCACCCCTATGGCTTGGGGGGTGAGGAACTAGTTTCCAAAGAAGGAAGGATCATTGTGAGTTGGGCAAATACACCGGAAAGCTTTCCACTTTAGCTCCCTAGAGCTAGTACAAATACAATATTCTCTTTTTCTTATTTTTTTGTTTTACTTTATGATGTTTAACTTTTTTACCCTTCTGGAATGTATTTTAGTGTATGATGTGAGATATGAGTCTGTTTTCCATACTGTAATCCATTTGTCCAATAACTTTTATTAGTGATTACCACTTCCTCTCATCACTGTGTTGCTTCTTGTTTGTTAGACAGTGAGTACTGATGTTCAAATACTGGAATCTCTACGTTATTCTATTCATCTGATTGATTTACAGGTTTCTGGCATAGTAGTGAGAAGACTCTGGGGCTGGCCCGGTGGTGCACTCGGTAGAGTGTGGCGCTTGGGAGCGTGGCAGCGCTCCCGCCAAGGGTTCAGATCCCATATAGAGACCGGTCCGCTCACTGGTTGAGCACGGTGCGGGTGCGACACCAAGGGTTGCGATCCCGTTGCCGGTCGCGGTACGGGCGTGAAACCGAGGGTTGCAATCCCATTACCGGTCACAAAAAAAGACAAAAAAGAAAAAAAAAAAAAAAGAGAAGACTCTGGACGCTTCATTTCCAACCTGAGTTCTAGACCACAGTTCCTTCCTCTATATGCTTTATCTATGAAAATTTTGAATATCTAATTACTCTTAACTTATTTAGGGGGAGCTGGAGGTGTTTACAAAATGTTGATCCCCCCCCCCCCCATCCTTTTAGAGAAATGGATCAGGAGAACTCTTCTAGAGGAAGAAGCTGTGCTGTTCCCTTTTTTGAAACTGGTCCCTGGCCCTGTTAACATATCTGGTCTTCAGCATGAGGATGTGTCAGAAAATAGCAAAAAGGGGCTGGCCTGGCTAGCTCAGTTGGTTGGAGTCTGGTGTTACAACATGAAGGTTAAGGGTTTGGATCCCTGTACTGGCCAGCTGCCAAAAAAGAAAATAGCAAAGTCTGCATATTAAACTTCATAATACCCGTACCAGCCAGCCACCCCCCTCCACCCCCCAAAAACTTCCTAGTAAATATGTGGCTGGCACACAGCAAATGCTCAATAAATATTATGTAATTATCAGAAATCCAGGGAACACCTACCTAAAACTCTTGCCAGTATCCAGTGTTAGCTCATTCTCACGTCCCCCACCCCACCTTAACTCATGCATGAGACTTAAAGGGAGATGTGATAGGGAAAATATGCCCATGTCCTAATCCCTGCAACCTATGCATATCTTACCTTACATGGTAAAAGGGACTTTGTAGATGTAGTTAAGGATCTTAAAATAGGAAAACCATCCTGGTTAATCTGGGTTAGCTCAATATAATCACAAGGGTCATATAAGAGGGAAGTAGGAGAGTCAGAGAAAAAGGAGATGTCATGAAGTTGGAGTGGTGTGAAGTTGAAGTAAGGTACCATGCCAGGGAGTGCAGGTGGCCTCTGGAAGCTGGAAAAATGGATTCTCCCTGAGATCCCCCAGAAGGAATGCAGTCCTGCTTACACCTTGATTTTAGCTCAGTGAGACCCATTTTGAACTTCTGACTTCCAGAATGGTAAATTTGTATTGTTTTAAGCTACCAAATTTGTGGTGATTGGTGACAGCAGCAATAAAAAAATGAATACAGAGGGAATCAGAATTTCATTGAACATTATGCAAAATCTGCTCTCCTGGACAATGCCCTTGTATAATTGCAGGGTTTGAGGTTCACAGAACCTAGTGGTACCTTTCTTGCCATGCCACCCAGCCAGGTTTTCAATGTCCTGCAGGCCTTTTCCCTCCACCTCTGCCCACTCAGCCTGATTTCTACTGACCCCAAGAATCTCCTTCATTTACTCCCCTTTGGGGCCTAGATTTAATGAGGTATTGGTCTTAATCCCACATGCTTGGGACTAGGGTTACTAGAAATAGGTATAAATTCAGGAAGCAAATCCAATCGAAACATGAAATAATGAGAAACATTTTAAAAATTGGGGCATTTTTCTCCCTTAGTATCAGGCCAAAAAGAGAGAAAGCTAGAGAGAGACCGAGAACCAGAGATACTGACAAACTGGAATCTAGCTAGAAACACTGAACTGCACTACAAGTTTCTGAACATCTGCTTAGTGAACTTTAAAGTCTGGGACATGGGCAGAAAATTCCGGACCCTTTAGAAGGCTATATACAGAGATAGTACCTATCCTGGTAAATGTGTAGTTTGGAGTTTAAGAAATACAGAATTGGGCTGAACGGTTAGCTCAGTTGGTTAAAACGTGCACCAAGGTCCAGGGTTTGATCCCTATATGGGCTGGTAGCCAAAACAAAACAAAACAAAACAAAAACGAAAACGAAAAGAAAGAAAAAGAGAAAAAAGAAATCTGGATTTGAATTCCAGTTCTGAGGACTACATTCCTGAGCTCTTCCTCCAAGAGGCCCCAAACGGGAGCCCACTGCTGGGTGAGCTCTTCAACGTCGCTGAACCGGGGAGGAGGAGGATCACCCCCAATCCCTAACCCAAGAAAGACATAGACTTCTGGGTTCACGTCACTAAAATTAGGAAAAGTATAAAATGCACGTCTCTGGCACTAAACAAAGAAGGGCATGTTCCAAGAAAGCGCGTTTTACTCCTCTCCCAGAATAAAAGGCCCTTACTTTTTGTTTTGTGATGACTTTATTTTTTCTTTCCGTTTTGTTACTCGCTGGGAGCTCAACATTGGCCGGGACCCCAGGCGGCTGCTGGAAAGGTGCCCTCCCAGGAGCAGAAGGCTCGCTTAGGAGACACTGGGGGCAGGAGGCGAAATTGCGACTGTCTCCCCAGCTCTTAGGGGTTCTCTCGAGAGTTTCTCTGGCCAGGTCAAGCCCGGTAGTCTGAGCCCCCAGGCAGCGGGGGGCGGTGAGGCTTCACGGGACCCTCACGCGGTAGCGAGCTCCACAGCACCCAGCTCCTCGGCGTGGGGCGGGACCACCCACGGAGCGGAGCGGCCCCGCCCCGGGCGCACCTCCCCAGCCGCACGCGCCTCCGTGCGCGAGGAAGCCCGCACGCCGCTCCAAGTTTTTTCTGCGTCCTCCCTAAAGCCGGTGGGGCTGCGGTACCCAGCTCCCCCAGATAAGGATGGGCCGCCTTGGCCGTACAGCAGACGGAGCGGAGCGGCCCCGCCCCGGGCGCACCTCCCCAGCCGCACGCGCCTCCGTGCGCGAGGAAGCCCGCACGCCGCTCCAAGTTTTTTCTGCGTCCTCCCTAAAGCCGGTGGGGCTGCGGTACCCAGCTCCCCCAGATAAGGATGGGGGAGGGGCTCGAGGGCAGACGGGGGGGGGGTGAAGAGATGCCCTTCCTCCTCATTCCACTCCTTACCCCAGTGGAGCGTGCTCGTATCTTTCCTTCCTTACTCCCATCCTAAATTTTGGGTGGCAACTTAATTTTAATACACTTTAATTCGAAAACAATATTAACATCAGGTTTGGGGATGAAATTATTCAGCTCCCAGATCGGAAGTGGGTACCTTTCGACCTAATTTAGACCTGAGAGGGTGGGGTTATGGGAGGGTGGTAGTACCTTCGGTGGAGGTCGAGAAGGGAGGTACAGTGGGGTCAAGGAGGTACGGTGGCGTTTAGGGGAGTGTCCAGTCCCCTCCTGGAGGTAGGGCCCACCTCCCCTTGTAGTTGCCAGAATGGAAAATTCATGGAGTCCAGCTTAGTTAGCCCAGGTCAACAAACTTTTACTGCCACTTCTGGCTCTCCCAGCAAGATTCCCACTTCTTGCGCTGTAGAAATACTGAGCTCTGGTGCAGGGGTATCAGGGTGAGGGTGTTCCCACTCCTCCTCTGCACACTGCCAAGTTAAAGAAAACCCCTCCTGCTGGAGAGGGAGGACCGGACGGGTTGGAATTCAAGGGCATGTATTGCTCAGCCCCACCTCTGCCGACTGCAGAGTATAGAGAACTTGGTTCCAAACTTCTTTCGAAAGGGTGGGGTGGGGGTGAATTTGGCTGCTGTTGTACCCCTTGCCCTTGCTGCCATGTTTCCATGGAAATGAGGGAGGGGCAGGATGTAGCTCACTCTGACTACCTAAGAGGGAGGGCAGGCATTCGGTAAACATATCCCCTTCCACTCCTACCCAGTACATACAGCTGTCCCCAGCCGACCCCCAAGCTCACTGCCCCCCTGCATGCTCCACTCCCTTCCCTTCTGGAGCTGGTATCATGCCAATTGGACTCCAGGCAGGGCTGCTGGTGTCTACTTTCTACAGCCAGGTCTTGCTGGCAACAGTCAGTCTAAGTATGTCCACCAAGCTCAGTAACAGCCCTAATACAGCTGCTGGTTGTAGTGCCTCGGTGAAAAAGCACCAGCTAGAATCCCCACAATTCTCTGTGCAACTGCTGTTTCCTCTGATAATAAACTGATGTTTACCTCTGCCCAAATGAAACTTAAGAAAACAAAAACCCAAATGCTTAAGGTTAGAAACAATACAAAATAACCCTCAAACAATGCTGAGGGCTAGGATGGGGGAGAGGAGGCACATCCTTCTGAGACTTAAGCCACCTGTACACCCTGCCTTCTGCCCATCTGGAGTTTCCTTCTTTCCACTGGGCTGTCCCTGGGGGCCTGGAGTCCAAATCTCCATTTGGTGCTGTTCTCAGCACCCGCTGCTGTTGGTCGATGAGGCTTGCCTGTCGCCATGGTGAGGAGGTACAGGATGGATTCTCAGTACCATGGGTCAGCCCGGTGCTGCTGGTTGTACAGCTGTAGCTTGATCTGATCTTTGATCTGATTCACCAGGATCTGGGACAGAAGGATTCCCACCAACTGAGAAAGGCAAGAAGGAATTGGGCCCTCAGCAATTAGTGATGTACTTGTTTTCCCAAATTCAATCTTCCCAGTGTGGGCAGCACTATGCCTTCCCCTGCCCCTCAGCAATGTCAGTGCTTGACACCCCAGCTGATCCCCAAGTGCCCTCCCCCAAACAAAGGAGTCTTTGCAGAGTTTGTGGGACCCACAGATCTTACAGGGTACATTACCTGGGGGATGGCCAGGCCCAGAGCCACACCACCAAGTAAGAATAGGTTGCTGTGTATCCAGTTGACCAACTTGTCAATACAGCCATTGGTGTAGATAACTTTACTAGCCTCCAAGTAGTCAAGGGCCTGCATACCTTGGCCACACATAGTGTTGATCACTGCCTGGGGAGAGAATTGAAAAACCAAGTGGGACTCCCATTCCAATAACTTTTTATTTTGGGCCCTAACTGATGGGCTTCCCACCCTTCCTAAACTCTTAAATTGTTATAGAATATATGTGGAGGATGCTGGGTTGGAAATTGCTAAATGCTGACTCCGTTTCTCTGAGACAGGCCTGGGTCCAGTTCTCCTTGCTTTAAATCTGCCCTTTCTGAACCCCCCATGTGGATTACAGGAGGGAAAAGTTAACAGAACCGTCAGACTGGGGTGAAGAAAAACATCTGACAGCTGTCCTACAAAACTGATTGGTTAATCTAGGAAATGGAGATTCCCAATAGCAGCTGCTTTAATCAGAAAGAAACTCAGATCACTTCCCAGGAGGAAGTGAGGTGGGATGTTTGCTCACCTGGTCGGGGGTAGGCACGCAACAGGAGTAAGGCACAGAGCAGCGCTCACGGCTGGGGTTGTCTTCTGAGCAGTTGAAGTACATGTTCTGGGACCAGTCCTTGTAAGAAATCCCTCCACAGCAGCTGAACTGCAACAAAGTCCGCCACAGACTTTAAGAATCACCCACTCCTCACACTGAGGTGACCAGGGGGATTCTCAGAGTAGCCAAAAGTCTATGGTGAGCTCCACTTGTAACTTCATGTTGTGTTTAAACACAGTCTTGAAACTTGAGCTCAAGCTTCCCAGCTGTTTTCACTTGAAGAAATTTTCTCTTAATTTCTATTACTTCATATATCTTGTTATAACTTACCACAGTGCTCAGTATTACAGTTGTATATATATTTTGTTTTACACATTCAACTATAAGCACCCTGTGAGAAGTTTCTGGCTTTGTAGTCCTGCACAGCATAGAGTCTGGCAAAAGGAGGTTTTCAAAAATACTGGCTGAAATAATTAAAGATCAGTGCTTAAAATCTCTGTCTTAAGACAGAGAAAACACAGAAGGGGGAATCTTCAGTACTGTGGGTCCATAATTACTCCATGAAAGCAAATTAGATACCAAAGTCAAGTGTCTGTTGCAGCAGGGGAAGGGGAACTCAGCACTAGTCTCAAAATACTTTCATTTAAAATTTAAATAAATTTGATTTATAGCAGTATTACTCACAATAGCCAAGAGGTGGAAATAACCTGAGTGTCCACGGATGGAGGAATGGATAAACAAAATGTGGTATATACATACAATGAATATTATTTAGCCTTAAAAAGGAAGTTAATTCTGACATGCTACAAAATGGGTGAATCTTGAAGACATGATAAATGACATAAACCAGTCAGAAAAAGACAAATACTATAGATTCTACTTGTATGAGTTACCCAGAGTAGTCAGATTCACAGAGACTGAAAGTAGAATTGTGGTTGCCAAGGGGAGAAGGAAATGGGGAGTCAGTGTTTAATGAGTACAGAAGTTCAGTTGGGGAAGATGAAAAAGTTCTGGAGATGAATGATGTGATGGTTGCACAACAATGTGAATATACTTAATGCCACAGATCTGTACAATTAAAAACGGTAAACGTTATGTCATGTATTTTGACAATTTTTAAAATGTAACTTTTGAATAGGTAATATTCAAAAATCTGCCCAGTTCCTCAACCCTTTATAAGTAACCACTTAAAAAGGTTTCCTACATATCTTTCCAGATTCCTTTTTTTTTTTTTTTTCCTTTTTGTCTTTTTTTACTGACCGGCAACAGGATCACAACCCTCGGTGTTGCGCCCGCACCGCGCTCAGCCAGTGAGCGGGAACCGGTCTCCACATGGGATCCGAACCCTCGACGGGGCAAGGGCGCACTCTCCAGTGCGCCACCAGGCCGGCCCCTCCAGATTCCTTTTGCAAATATGAATATATATTCTTTCCTCCCTCTTTTCTTTACACAAATGGTAGATTACTATTGCTATGGCTTGAATGTTTTTCCCCTCCAAAGCTCATGTTGAAACAATCCTTAATATAGTATGCAATGGGATCGCAACCCTCAGTGTTGCACCCGCACCGCGCTCAGCCAGTGAGCGGGAACCGGTCTCCACATGGGATCCGAACCCTCGACGGGGCAAGGGCGCACTCTCCAGTGCGCCACCAGGCCGGCCCCTCCAGATTCCTTTTGCAAATATGAATATATATTCTTTCCTCCCTCTTTTCTTTACACAAATGGTAGATTACTATTGCTATGGCTTGAATGTTTTTCCCCTCCAAAGCTCATGTTGAAACAATCCTTAATATAGTATTTGAAAGGTGGGGCCTTTAAGAGGTGATTGGATCGTGAAGACTATGCCCTCATGAATGGATTAATGGGTTAGTGAGTTATCAGGGAGTAGACTGGGGGCTTTATAAGGAAAGGAAAAAATGTGGAAATGCTCTTCCCCCTCCTCACCATGTGATACCCTGCATAGCCTTAGGACTCTGCAGAAAGTTCCCACCAAGAAGGCCCTCATCAGATGCCCCCTAGATCCTGGACTTCCCAGCCTCCAAAACTGTAAGAAATAAATTGTTTATTAATTACCCAGTTTCAGGTATTCTGTTATAAATAACAGAAAATGGACAAATACAACTATATATACCATTTGGTGTCCTTAAAAGTACTTTTCAAGTACTCTAAGTATGGTTTTTGCCAGACCCCTTCCCAGAATCCATTACCTGTAAGGTAGTGAAGAGGCCCACAGGCCTAGAGGGTGAGGCATCTCTTGGGATGACATTAACTTTTATCCACAGCTCCCCAGACCCCTAGCTGATGCCACCACACTAAGCCCATACCTTCTTCTGGCCAAAATCAATGAGGTTCTGCAGATCCAAGTCATCCCGGTAGTGCACAATGGCATTGTTGATGATCTCACTCACTTTCCCCCGAGCCTGCCAGAGACATGGATAGGGAATCAGGACACAGGACTAGCACCTAACTTGCTCCTCCCTGCAGAAGTCGCAGTAGGCAGGGATCATTCTTTATTTGAGTCAGCCTTAAAATCAGAACCAAGTTCTAATTATAGAAGATGGCCAATTCCAAAGCCATTCTTGGGCCCTCAGGTACCAATGGGCAGGAAAAATGCTGGACCTTCTGTTGCTACTTCCCAGAGCCACATTTCAAGGTAATCCAATGTTTATCTACCCCTGAATACTAATACCACAAAACACTTGTTGATTGATGCAAAATAAAGAAACTTTTTTTTTTTTTTTTTTAAAGAAAGGGGCTTACTAAGCTGAGGCACTGCCCTCTAGTGGACACAAGAGAATGCACTTCTTTAGACTCAAAACAGATCTACATCATTTTAGAATTTTACTAAGCCAGACGACTAGGAAATTCTGAATTAATTCAGCAGCTCTCGATCTCATAATTTTCTACCATGGTCTTTTCCTTCCTGCTCTACTGCTTTTCTCAAAGTTTTCTTTCACAATCCTATACTCTGCCCCCCAGCAATCATTTGACCTTTTGGAAAGGAATTCTGGTTCTTAATTAAAAAGATTGTCACTGAATGGCAGACCACTTCCAGATAGGGTAATAAGCACTATTCAAAATCTTGTTTTCTTTCCCCTCTTCCTTCCCTCTGTTTATCTCAATAAACAATTTTTAAAATAAGAGTCTCTTCATGTTATCTGTGTTCCACTTGATCACTGAGTTTTACTGTCATTTGCCATTAAAGTTTGCAGATTATTTTAACTTTGTATTCATAAAATTTACTTACCTGTTGGCTTCTCAGACTGTCAGAGGAAAACATCTTACAAGCTTGAAATTCGCTTTAAATATGGTAACTTTAAAGGCCATTCATTCATCCCTAAGGAGAACCTTTCAAAGGCTGATGTTTCTCAGGGGAAGGATTGCTGTGGTTAATTAATCAGGCTAAACACGGGCAAGAACTTTCCCATCCTTCCTCTGGTTCATACCTGAGGAGGCCTCTTGGCTCCCAACTTTACCTTGTCTGAGAAGACAAATCCCAGGATCCCAGCGGCCAGCTGTAGCAGGAACACGATGGTGAGGCATAGGGAGAACTGCAGGAAGCAGGCAGGAAAAGGAGACAGTCTGTTATCACTCTGGGAAGTGGTCCCCTCCCAGGGCCATGGAGTATACTGGGGGGCCACCAGGTACTTTTCTCAGGTGTCCCACACATGAGAAAGCCAGTTTCCTCTGGGATACTGTCCAGGGGTGTCACCCTGTGCTGGCTCACCTGGAGCTGAGCTCTACAGTGAGGAGTGAACAGCACAGGCCTTGAGGGTACAGTGGGACAGAGGAAACTGAGAGGTTGCAGGAATAGCATCAGGAAACTAAGGCTCAAGAAGGAGGGGCCAGGGTCTTTCTGGTGGGGTCCTTGACCACTCACTGTCTGCAGGAGGCAGATATTTTCACGCAGGGATCCAATACAGCCACAGAAGGTGAGCAGGAACATGAGCACACCCACCACGATCAGTAGGATGGCAGGATCCACTGCCAGGCAGGCCAAGGCTGCTTCTGGGGGAGGGGACATTTGTCAGTTTGACGCTGGTGCCCACTGAGGGCCACCCAAACTGTTCTCCTTCCCCTGGTGGGGGAATCTCCAGTACGGGTGGGTGAAGTTTATGGGGAAGCAGTACCCACCCCCCGCCAAAGGGGAGAACAAAAAGGGCCCAGAAGGAGTTGTGGCATTTAATTTGAGGAACTAACAAAGTAAAAGTCTTTATTCCTGGGCTTGAGAGGAGGGGCTGCTTTTGCTCCAGAAAAGAATTAGAATGGCATTAGGCTCACTAGCTTTGCAGATTCTGTTTCCTGGAGATTTTGTGCAGTGGAATAGGAATGGAGGTTGAGTTACTCCAGGACAGAGCGAGGGAGGAGCTAAAGCCCATGATTACTCTCTGCTCCCAGAGGCTGCCCTTCCTTCCCAGACACTTTGCAAGCCTAAAATGTACGTATATCTTGGAAGACTTGTGGGGGATCAGGGAAATCAAGGTGAACAGGCCTGGGTGGTCTGACACCTTGGAGGAGACCACTAAGTAGACCACTAAGACCATTTGCCTCCTTTAGCTCCATAGCCTATGCAGGAAGGCATGCCAGAGGGCCAGGGTTGAAGGAGGTAGAGGAGGAAGGAGCGGGACAAGAATCCTGGGAGTGGAGGGAGCCCTATAGCTCACCTGCGTGCTTCATCAGCCGAGCGTAGACTCCCACAGCCACCATCACCATGGAAATCACCTGTGGAGACGGGGAATGAGCCTGACTGAGATTTTAGAAACTAGAGAGCCCTGAACACCATGAGTAACCTTCTAGGAGAGCAGAAGGGGGAGGATTAAGTGATTAAGAATATAGGCTTTGGAGCAGGTCAAAACTGGGCCTATGTGGGACAAATTTCTGAGTCTCAGTTTCTGTATCTAAAGATGGAAATTAAGAACAAACAACTACATCTAATAAAATTACTGTGAGAATTAAATAAAATATGCTGGAAAGCATTTAACACAATGCCTGACAATAAATATTATCTATCATTGTTAATAGTTAACTTGCTCAAGGGGCAGGCCAGTGGCTCACCTGGGAGAGTGTGGTGCTGATAACACCAAGGCCACGCATGGGTTTGGATCCTTATATAGGGATGGCTGGTTAGCTCACTTGGGAGAGTGTGGTGTTAACACCACCAAGTCAAGGGTTAAGATCCCCTTACTGGTTATCTTAAAAAAAAAAAAAAATTAACTTGCTCAGGGTCACATAGAAACTGTGAAGTTCTGATTTTTTTTTTTTTTGCAGTGTCTGGTCAGTACACGGATCAAATCCTAGACCTTGGTGTTATAAGTGAATTCTAATCCATCTACATCAAACCATCAGATCTTATGGCTTAAGCAGGCCTGGGTAGATGGATACTCCCAGCTCTCTAACCCTCCTGGAGGTCAATATGGTATCTAGAACAAAGAAAAGTGCACACCAATGCGAAAGTGTGTGCACATGAGCACATGTGTGTAAGTACTGGAAGTGCCTTGTCAAAGAAACCTTTCTTAGGGCCGGCCCGTGGCTCACTTGGGAGAGTTTGGTGCTGATAACACCAAGGCCATGGGTTCAGATCCCCTTTCCGGTCATCTTTTTTTTAAAAAAAGAAAGAAACCTTTTTTTTACCTTTATAAACTGATTCCAGTGTGGAAGAATAGAGGAGTTTAGACCTTTCAAATTTTGTGGGTTCTCCCTGAGAGAACAAATCTATCAGAGACTACTAGGAGTTCCCAAAGGGGCTTTCTCTGTACCCCCAGGCCTCCAGGAGTGCAGGGCAGCCCCTGAGTCACCTCCCTCAGCTACCCTTTCTTCATGCCCAGTCTCCAGGCTGGTGCTAAGCAGCAGCTGGCTGTTGCCATGGCAATGGATGGGGCCAAGCTCTGACAGGAGAGAGTTCTCAGCAGCAGGGCCTTGACCAGTTCAGTGGGGAAGGAAATGGCTGGCTAGACTCCACTGTCCTGCAAGACAGAAACCAGCTGGAAAGACCACCTTGGGGCTTTGGTGGGAGATGGGAGCTGGGCCCCTAGAACAGGTAACAGGTTCAAACTAGTCCCTCAGTAGAAAGACATTATTCCTTGTGGGCTCCTTTATGACGGTCCTCTGCCATTTGACAGGGCAGGGCAGGTGCGTTCGGCAGTAGATGGGAAATGTTTATCTAAAACCATGTCTTTCAGGACCTTTCTCTGCCTGTATAAACAGCCTCCCACCTTGCCCTCCATCATTTGACCTTGCCTCTGACTCAGGGCCCAATGGATTATCTGCTGGCCTTCATACTCCTTGTCCAGGAGAAAGGGAGCTGCTTGCAGGGCTGCATGTGGGCCTGGAGGTGCCAGCTGGCTTCTTGTCCCACAACACAACCAGGCTTGGGGAACAGGCAGATATGCTGGTGACCCCAAGGCCTGGAGGCCAGCCCTCCACCAGAGCGAGTAAGCATCTCTGTCTGCCCTTTAAAACTCACCACAGCCAAATACAATTCTGAATATCATTTTACTGAATCATTTAAAAATATGTATCTGTTCTTTATTTCTGTTGCTCCCAGGCTCCTCACTGTTTTTTCACATGCTAATTTTTCACTAGGATATATAACTTGCCACAAAGATGGTCTCTGATTAAATCCTAACACAGCTAAAACAAGAAAGGCAAAGTAAAGAGATGCGACATATCACAGGGTAGCTTAATTCTATTTATGGGCCTGTAATTACAGCAGTTGCTCTGTCTCTATCTTTGGTAGGTAGAATAATGTCCCCTCAAAGATGTCCATGTCCTAATTCCTGGAACCTGTGAATGTGTTACCTTACATGGCCAAAGGACCTTGGCAAATGTCATCAAGGATTTTGAGATGAGAAGATTATCCATCAGGGCCCAATATAAACACAAGAGACCTTATACGAGGGAGTCAAGAGGATCAGGGTCAGAGAAGGAGCTATGACAATGGAGGCAGAGGTTGGAGTGATACAGTGCCATGATCCAAGGAACGCCAGCAGCCTCTAACAGCTGGAGCAGGCAAGGAAATGATTTTCCCCTAGAGCCCCCAGAAGGAACACAGCACTGCTGACACTTTGATTTTAGCCCAGTGAGAACTGTTTCGGACTTCTGATTTCCAAAAATGTAAGAAAATAAATTTGTATTGTTTTAAGCCATTAAGTTTGTGGTTATATGTTATAGCAGCAATAGGAAACTAATACACTATCTGTAGTGGATTGAATTATGTTCCACCAAAACTCCTTGAATTGAATTGTGTCCCCCAATTTTTATGTATTAGAAACTTAGCCCCCACTGTGACTGTTAAGAGGGTGGGAAATCCTACTATGGTAATTGAAAAGTGGGGCCTTGAAGAGGTAATAGGATTGTAGGACCATGCAGTAGTGAATGGATTAAAAATGGTGGTTGGGGCACAGTTCTGAGGGCTTTAAAAGAAGAGAGAGTCTGTCTCTCTTTCTCTCTGCTTCCACCACCTTGCAATGTGAGACCCCTGGGTCACTGTTGCCACCACCAGATGGACTTTGGACTTCCCAGCCTCAGAAACTGTAAGCAATAAATTTCATTTTCTTAGAAATTACCCAGTTCCAAGTATTTTGTTATAAGCAACAAAAATGGACTAACACACTATCCAATCCATCAGCTGTTATGTACAAAATACTCTGAGGACCTATAATCTATTTATGATATGGGGAGGGACAAGAACATTTATAGCCTGAGGCTGTGGTTCTCAACCCTAGCTTCCATTAGATTCACCTGGGGGTTGAAGGTGAGGGAGAGGCTTAAACAATTCCTAATGCCTAGGCACCCCAAACCAAGTATTCGGACCCAGGCAACAGTCTTTCTGAATGTGCTGTATGTGATTCCAATGTGCAGTCAAGTTTTAGAATCTACAAGCCTAAAGCACAATCAGCCAAGAATTTAGAGCAGCAGATGCAGACTACATTAAAATCAAGATTAAAACTTTAATATTATTATTAATATTTAATATGATCATTAATGATGCCTCTCCCCTGAGTTCTCAAATTCTGCATTTCACAGCTTGACCTTGCACACTTCCATTCCTGCCCTCCTTCCTACCGTATTATTGCTCAAAGTTACTGCCATTCCAAAGTTAGTGCCATTATATTTTAAAGCTGAACAGAACTTTAGAAATGGGCTCAGTCACTCAACTCACCTCTTTTTATAAATCAGGTCAAAAGAGAAGTGACACTTGACCAAGTGCATATAGGTGCAGGGGCAACATCTGGACTACACCCAATTTTCCAATCTCATTCTGGTACTCTTTCCACTATATCAGTCTTTGCTGCAAAGTCATTATAACACCCCACAATATCACCAATGACCTCCTTTCATGATGAAGATGGAGATAAAGACATTTCTCCTCTCAGAATGACTTTTTACATTCTGGCTGGAATGAAGCCTGGCTGGGAACTTTTTTTTTTTTTTTTTTTAAAGATGACCGGTAAGGGGATCTTAACCCTTGGCTTGGTGTTGTCAGCACCACGCTCAGCCAGTGAGCTAACCGGCCATCCCTATATAGGATCCGAACCCATGGCCTTGGTGTTATCAGCACCGCACTCTCCTGAGTGGGCCATGGGACTTTTAAAAGCTAGATACAATTTTTTAAAAAGCTGAGTCTAGCTTTTAGCAAAATATTCCTGAAAAGTTGTCAGTCAAATTACATAAAATAATTTGCACTCTCCAGTACCTTTATCCTTATGTAAAGTGAATAATCACCTTGTAATGAAATAGCTATCCCCTGAGCTCCTTGCAGAAATGTCTGATTCTGGGATGGGGCAGGAAATACACAAGATGAGCCTGGAGCATCTTATATTGCCAGAAAGTAAGGAAGTGCTCAAAAACAAACAAAAACAAAATGCCCACATTAATACCCACATCAATGTGGGTATGTCAAAGGGACACATGAGCCAACTGAAAGAGCTCCTAATGGCTAAAACTGGAAAAATTTGAGCACTGAAATAAATAAAGAAGTATTAAATTATTACCCAAAGTATAAAATACATATTGGTGAGTCCATGCTGATATAAACAAATGACTTAATACATAAATGGGAGAGAAGAGACAAATCTCCCATGCAGAGGAATTCCAAATAACTTTTGTAGATAACTATAACTCCTTACTCCTTAAGTGTGGACTGAGCATAGTGACTTTCTTCCAAAAAGCACAGTATGGAAAAGGGGTGAAATGACTGACTACACAGTGGAGAATCTGACAAACACGACCTCAGCCAGGGGATCAAGACCAACATCAACAATGATAATGATAAATCACTGGTGTATGATATGATGTGATGAAAAAAGCACTTTACCTCTTTACCAAAACCCATAACCACAATAACCATAAGAAAAACATCAAGCAAATTCCAATGAAGGGACATTCTACAAAATATCTGACCAGCCCTTCTCAGAACTCTCAAGGTCATCAAAAATAAGAAAAAGTCTGGGAAACTGTCACAGCCAAAATAATCCTAAGGAGACACAACAACTAAATGTAATGTAGTATCCTGGATGGGATCCTGGAACAGAAAAAGGACATTAAATGAAAACTAAGGAAATCTAAATAATGACCACAAAGACAATGCCATTAATTGTAACAAATGTATCATACTAATGAAAGATGTTAATAACAACGTAAAATGAGTGTGGGGTATATGGGAACTCTCTGTACTATCCTCTCAATTTTTCTGTAAAACTAAAACTTCTAAAAAATAAAGT